CCACGCCCTCACATAGCCCACCCTTGTAGCCACGCCCTCATATAGCCCACCCTCATGTAGCCACGCCCTCACATAGCCCATCCTTGTAGTCACGCCCTCATATAGCCCCACCCTCGTGTAACCACGCCCTCATATAGCCCCACCCTTGTAGCCATGCCCCTCTAGGGTCCCGCCCACTCCTAGTTCAGGCCTGCCTCAGTTTTGCCCCCTCACTGCCCCGACCCTCTCTGTTACTCACCGTCACAGGTTCCACCTTCTTACTTGCCTCACCTTTTCCACAAACTTCTCTTCTCTCCCACCCCCAGCAGCCCCTGGGCATCACAGGGAGCTTCTTAACTAGTGGCTCCACTCACCGGGAGTCCCAGAATCTCCCTCTCCCACCTCTCCTGTCTCCCTGTTCTCTTCCCTGCCAAGCCCTGCTCTAGCTCTAGGGACTAACTTCTTTTCCTTCTCCTCCACACCTGACTAGCCCTGGGTTTCTGCTTCAAGGCCCCTTCCCATCTTGTTCTGGGGCTGTCCTCCTCCAACTCTGGATCTTTCTCTGTGCCAAGAGCCACTTTGTGTCCCGTGCAGGGCATCTTTTTCACATGGTGTGTTTGGGGAATTAGGACTCTCCTGAGAAACAGAATCAGTAGAATGTGTGTGTTTGTGTGTGCAAACTGATAGATTTTTAGGAATTGGATCATGTGATTGTGGGTGTGCAGGAGGGGGGTTAATGAGGGGAATGGGAAGGCTCTGGAAAACCAAAGTCTGCAAGGTGGGCTTACAGACTGTTACAGTGCACGGAGAGAGGGCACCACCGAACCCCCAAACCTGCTCGCTCTAAATAGGTTCTGCCATCTGCTGCATCAAGACAAAACATATAAGACCTTTAGTGGAAAGAACTTTAATACAATGAATGTGCAATACAGAAAAGACAAAGAATATAGTTTCTAAATCAGACACCCAAAGTTACCCGTCCGCTCATGGGTAAAAGTCCCCACAAAAGAGATGGGCCCAAAGTAAGGCCTGAAAGCCCAGCACAAGCCTAAAGCACCTTCTGGCGGGGACCCAGAGAAGAGGGTCAGACATGGCCAGACAAGTGTGGGAGGAAAAGAGCAAAATCAAAATCAAGATAAAGGCTGCCATCGTCACCTCCCACGGTCTCTCACCCACATCTGTTTCCAGCAGTCCAGGACCAAGAAACAAGCGCAGTTTCTTCACATGTCTCTGCTCCATGTGGCTCCCTCAGGTCACCTCTGGCCTCCATTCTGCTTCCTTCTTCTCCAGGCTCCATATTCCTCTCATCTCTGTACCCTCCTTCTGGGTGGGGCAGGGAACCTGGAACCTGCCCCCTTTCCCAGGGACTCCCCCCCCCTTACAAGAACAGAGAAGAATTGATGTTACAGCTTCAGCCAGAGGGCAGTCAGCTGGTAGTTCCCTTTCGCAGGGAACTCAGGCTTTTTTCTTAAGACCTTCAGCAGAGTGGATGTGGACACCTATGTTGTAGGATAACCTATTTTACTCGAAGTCTACTGGCTTAAATGTTTATCTCATTTAAAAAAAAAAAAAAACCTTTGTGGCAACATCCCTTCTTGTTTGACTAAATATCTGTCTAGGTGCCACGATGTTTAGGACAGATATAAGGGACCACCACGTGGCATCGAAAGTTGGGTGTGTCTTCCTTACCGAAGAGGGGGCAGGAGCCCAACCATCAGGGCCTGCGCCCACACAGTGCTGCCCCCTGCAGGCCAAGGGTGAGCCCACAGCCAGCCTGCCTGGGACCTGGCTTGGGTGCCAGCCGGCTGGGCTGCAGTGTGTGGGGACCAGTGCACACCAGTGTCAAGTTAGCTGTGACTGTCTGAGAAAAGATAGAAAGATCCAGTGCTTGGGCATCAGCCTCCTCCTGTGACCACCCCACACAGTGCAAAGCCTGGATTAGGGGCACGGAAGGGAAAGGGGTTCTGCATTTCTGGTTAGTTAGATGGGAGGTCAGTGTAGTCATAATCCCAGGTGGGGGTTTCTCTTTGCAGATCTCATTACATTCTGATGACATTTTTGTGACAAAAGCATGCAGGTGGAGGAAGGGGGTTGTGGACGTGGAAATGTGAGTCTAGCAGAAGTTAGAACCCCCTGGGGGACTGGCGTTGAGTCCCCAACCCCCCCCCCCATTCCCTGCCATGACCCTCCCTCTCCCACAGAGGCCCCACACTTTTTGTTGCATGTATTCATTCACCCCACCTTTTCAACACATTTATTGAAGAGCTACCCTGTGCTGGGAAAGATGAAGACCAGCTTCTCTCTCTAAAGGCACGTACGTGCACTCAAACATGAAGCGAGCTGCCCAGGCTAACAAGCAAGTTGCCTGTCTGTATTTTTAAGAATCTACCGAACTCTCTCCAGAGTGGCTGTACCATGTTAGATTCCCGCCAGCAATGTCTGGGTGATTCGTGTCTTTGCATTCTTGCCAGCATTTGGTGTTGTCACTATTTTTTATTTTAGCCATTCATTGTGGTTTTAATTTGCATTCCCCTAGTGGCTAATAATGTTCAACATCTTTTCATGTGCTTTGCTAGCTGTAGATCTTCTTTGTTGAAATGTCTCTTTTTGTCTTTTGCCCATTTTCTAATTGGATTATTTGTTTTTGTCCTGTAGAGTCTAGAGATTTTTTGTGTTCTAGATAGAGTCAGTTACATGGTTTGCAATATTTTCTCTCTATGGTTTTTCTTTTCATCCTTTCAATCTTTTGCAGAGCAAATTTTAAATTTTGACAAAGTTCAACTGATCAGTGTTTCCTGCTATAGATTGTGGTACTTTTGGGGTCTAAGAAATCTTTGCCTGAGATCCTCAAGGTTTTCTCCTATGATGTTTGCCTAAAAGTTTTATGCTTGATGTTTAAGTCGGACATACCCCATGTTGAGCTAATTTTTGTACAAGATCTAAGGCTTAAGGAAAAGGCAATTTTGTTGTAGTTTTCCTCTATGGGTGTCTAGTTGCTTCAGTACAATTAGTGAAGAGGGCTTTTTACCCATTGAATTTGATTGTAAAAGTCATTTGGGCATTTTTTTTAGTCTAAATTCTCAGTTATGTTCCACTGATGTGTATGTTTACTGTTCTGGCAGCAGCTACATGGAAGCCTTGAAATCAGAATAATTCTTCCCTCCTTTTTTTTTTTTTTTTTAAAGATTTATTTATTTGTGCATACAGAACTGGGGTACAGGCCAGAGGCTAGGGGCGGCGAGAGGCTTCACCAGAGACAGAGTGGGGAACAGAACAGGCAGATCAACGAAGTACACTGCTGTTCCCTCCTCTTTTTTAAAAATTGCTGTAGCTAGTATAATTCCTTAGTTTTTTCATAAAACCTGAAAATAGGCCCTCCCTGGTGGTGCAGCGGGTTAAAGCACAGAACTAAGTAGCTTAAGCCACTTAAACATGAGTTCGATCCCCGCCTGCCCCGGAGGTGACCACATGGCGTGGCTGACCTCTCCTGACCCGCCCACTGCTCCCCTCAGCAGTGTACTTTGTTGATCTGCCTGTTCTGCTCCCCACTCTGTCTCTGGTGAATCCTCTCACCCTCCACATCTCTGGCCTGTACCCCAGTTGCATATGAATAAATAAAAAAATCTTTAAAAAAAAACACTGTAGAATAACCTTGTCTTTAACTATCCAAAATCTTAATGAGATTTTTAAAAAATAATATAATAGTTTATTTTTACATCATTTTGTGCCTTTTGCCATCTCAGTTGTAATCCCGGCATCTTGATGAGATTTTTACAGGAGTTGCATTTAACCTCTCTACCTACCTGGGGAGAATGAGTGTCTTCCTATTTAGGAACCTAATGTGTCTTTCCT